CCAGCTCAGCCCACCAGGGGGCGGGGCTGGCTGGCATGTGGTGCTGGGGGATCGAACCGCGGTCCCTGTGCTTTGCCTAGCTTGTTTCAAGTAGGTGCTTTAGACCACTGAGCCATCTCTCCAGCCCCAGCCACTGCTGATCTTGATTAGGGTCTCTTCTGTGTCTAGAGCTTGGCTGGCCAGCAGCTGGGTGATCTGGGCTTGGAGAGTGAGGTGCCTGCGCTCTGTCCCACACGGCTCTTGTCATCCAGCAGGTTCTCAGGGCTATGGTGCAGGTCTAAAGTAGAAGCTTGAGGCTACTGGAGGCTTGTAAGTGCTGCAATGTCACTTTTATTGAGCAAAGCAGGTCACAGGTCAGCTTCCATTTGGGGGTAGGAAATAGATGCCACTTTTTTTTTGTTTCTTTGTTTTGCAGTGCTGGCGATCAAGCTCCTGACTTGAGTTTCAGTCTCTCCGTCTCAGTTTCCATAGCTGTAAAATGGGGCTAGGCAAGTGCTCTCCCACTGAGCCATTGGCTTTTCTTGAGAGGAAGAGCTGTACAGTCTTCCTGCAGAGTGGTAGGAGTGGGGAGGGGTGAAGGATTGGGGCCGTTCCCCACACACCACACCGCACCAGCTCCCTGCTCACAAGCTGAGCACAGCCATTCTTCTCTGAGCACTGTGCGGAAACCTCCAGACCCCAGTGCTGATGCTTGTGACAGATGTGGCCTGCTTGCGAGAGGTATCAGAGGGACCCAGATGCACCCCAGAACCCAGGGGCACAGGCACCCATGTCAGGTGCATCTATATGTGAACCTCCTGCCCCTGGGTGTGTGACGTTGTGACCAACTGCAAGTGCACCTGCCTCAGCCTGGAAGACAGAGCCAGCCACCCCGAGGAAAACTGCAAAAGAAGCAAACCAGTGGGACACTGAAGGCATAGTGGTGGCCCTGGCAGGGGACAGGGGGCCGCTGCTGTCTTTTTTTTTTTCATGTGGATGAGGGTGCTCGTAGGACACAGAACTGGGGTATATTTGGCGTTGTATTCTTTGCATCTTGCTAAGTGCCCAGCTGTGGTCCATCTCTAATCCAGCTCTAGTAGATATCTTTCTTTGTTTTTGTTTTTTTGAGACAAAGTCTCACTCTGTAGTTCAGGCTGGCCTTAAACTCACTATATAGCTCGGGGGCGTCAAACTTGTAGAGATACTCCTGCCTCAGCTTCTCTAGTACTGGGGTTACAAGTGTGCACCGCTATGCCCTGCACTCAACAGTAGGAATCAATTTCTTCTCCTTTAATGTGGGAATTCCCTGTAACCCCAGCCCTCTGGGAGGCTGAGGCAGGAAAATTGCAAGTAGGAGCCTAAATGTGAAGACCCTGGGTTTGGTTCCCCGTAGTACCAGTACTATAAAAGTGAGAGAGAATGAGAGAGACAGAGACAGAGAGAGATACAGACAGAGAGAGACAGAGGAGAGAATCAGAGAGAGACAGAGACAGAGAAGGAGGGAGAGAGGGAGGGTGGGACAGAGGGAGGGAGAGACAGACAGACAGATGAAAGAGAGAGAGAGAGAGAGAGAGAGAGAGAGAGAGAGAGAGAGAATGAATAGGAGAACTCCCTTGATGTGAGGATAATGAGCCTAACCCACTGGAAGTCTCCTAATTACTCAGTAATGTAATGCCTTAAATAATGGGTCAATTCATTCATGTGACAAATACTTCTTTTTTAAAATTATTTTTATCATTCACCTTTGATACACATAGTGATCACATTTGTCATAGGGAATCTGAACCTGTACATGATATATCTTGATTTTTTTTTCAATTCCCCTCCTTATTTACAAAAGCTTTGTTTCCATTTTTCTTCCTTCTAGTGTCTTTTCTTTCTTTTCTCTCCCTCGTCCTCCTCCTTTGTCCCCCTTCTCATTTGACCATTTTCTTCCTACTTCCCAACATCTATCCTCCATTTTGATCCTTATTTTTACTCTTTGGGTTTTTCGCACAAGAGAAACTGTGTTATTTAAACCTGTACGTTTGATTTATCTCACTTAAAAGTATAGTTCTGAGTTGCATCCGTTTACCTAAAAGTGTCTCAAGTTTATCGTTCTTTATGGCTGAGCGGTACTCTATTGTATATAAGAATGTCATTTTCTTTTTTTTTTTTTTAATTATTTATTTGTGTGTGTGTGTGTGTGTGTGTGTGTGTGTGGCCAGCTCAGCCCACCAGGGGGCGGGGCTGGCTGGCATGTGGTGCTGGGGGATTGAAC